CCCCAAAACCCCAAAACCCCAAATAATCAAATTTACTTTTAAAAATGTAATCGAAATTAATTCAAACTATTATATTTGGAGAGCCATTTCTTCTAATAAACAAAGGCATTTTTTTCTTGGTTTAAAATTCTGGAATGCTTTCAAATGTCTTATTATTTTATAATATCACTATCTTTGAATCATTGTTTCTTGATTCCTAATTAATCTAGTTTAAACTAACCTCTTTACTCAGAGTTCTCTATTCTAATTCATTTAAAAATTACTATGACCTTTTCCAGTTTGGATAGTTAGGATTTATTAATAGGGATCTCTAGCTCTCTTAATTGTTTCTTTTAATGCTATTTTAATTATACAACTCAGTAAGATTTTACAATCTGATTGCACTTTTATTGCTTCTGTCAGACTTCAAAGGCTAATCATAGGTTGAAATGTTAAACTAATTTTTCTTGATATTCTTCCGATCTACTATTAGGCTTTAATAATAGCTCTGCTTCATATCTACAGAGCTTAGCATATTTTGATTCCATGAGTCAATGTCAATTCTAGATGCATTATGAGACTTACCACTATCTATTTCATCCCTTCCTGGAGTCTTATCGTTGTAAGTGTCAAGATTGGAAAATTCAGAGGGATCGTTTATTTCATTTGCTGAATATGACTACTATATTGCTTTGCTGCTGTTAGCTATTCTAAGATTTAGCCTAATTTTCTTGCTATTAATGTCTTTATTATCAGGTTAAACAGATTGAGATCTTTCAAAGTTCTAATCAATCGTTGTATTTTAATAATCAGATTAGGCGTTATATTTAAATCTCTGTTGCTTTTAGAAACTGCCAATTCTTGATGAAAATTATTGATCTTGTATTGTCGATTAATTTTATGGAGTCTTGTTAGATTGAAAATATACCTTGTCTTTAAGCTTTAATTTTTAAGAGGGCTTTATTGGATTATCAAGTCTATACGTCTTTAGAATCTAAACATCCCTCATTAACTATCTATAGGTAGCAGGATTGCCATCAACTATTTTACTTTTACTCTTATTACTATTGCTTTTCTAAGAATCTCTACGCCTTAAAAATGATTAATTTTCTATTGATTCATATTTTCTGCTGCTTGGCTACTCAAAGCACTATTCTAGTTTGAAGGGGGATTTCTACATCATGTTGATTCTATTTGTATTTAAGTTATTTTGGAATTTATTCAAATGAACTGAAATCATCATCTTATCTCTGGTCTATCTTTCCTCATCAATTTGATGATTTTTAGGCTAAATCTTCTTTCTTTATAGCTTGATTTTAGACTATTGGATTAGATTTTTGTCTTTTAGATTCTATATAGCAGTATTTTTAATAAGTCTTAATGGAGGGATAAAGTATTTTCCATCTTAATTAATAAAAGAATCATCTTCGATTCTTGATGAGTTAAACTCACTCTTATCTTCATGTCTAATTGTCTATCTGATACTATCAATAAACTTCGATTATTTTGAAGTTTTTCTGTTTATATTTTATTTACCATTATTATCATGAAGATTTTGATTATTAGACTACATTTAATAGTCATTGACACTTTCAAAAACATTTATACTCTTATTAATCTAGTCTTGATCGCTCATGCCAATCTTAGAATTAGAATTTAGTTTGAGGTTGCTGAATGAGTTAATCTGAGACTAAAATAAGTCAATCTTGTTTAATTAGGACAGTAAATTGTGTTGTTATATTTTATTATCGCTTAACCCTCTTTTATTATCTGACTTTATTCTCTTTTTTAAATATGAATCGATTTGCTTTATTAGCCTTTAATTCTTTTGCTAAAGAGCTTGCTTATCAAAAGACTCATCAATTTCTGATATGGTGCTAATATTTTTATAGTTCATCATTTTAAAAGTATTTATGATTTATAACCGATAATTATTAATTTATTAGCCAATCGTCAATTTAAAGGTTAAAATCATTAATTCAAACTACACGGGGTTTTGGGGTTTTGGGGTTTT